TTATTCAAAAGTTATGTTTGACATTACTTTTATTATAATAAAAGTAATATTATTTTATAGACATTTTAGAAAATGAAGATTAAAATCATCCATAATCCCATAATGTAGAAAACCATGGTTATCATTAATGTGTGTGTGTCTATGTGTGTCTATTTCATGTTTTTGCCTATATAGATATATGGGCCAATGTAATTTTCTAAAAGCAATCAAGATCATTTTATAAACTGCTTTTCCTCATACTTTTAAATATTCTTTAAGAATATGATCTCTACTATTTTAAATCACGAGTGAATATGCTGCAGTTTATTTAACTAGTACCCTATCATTGGACTTTGAGGGTTTTTATTAATTAACTATTTTAATTAACACTATGATAAGTAGCCTTGTTTATAAATATTGGTATGTATATCTGATTATCTATTTAGGGTAAATGCCTAGAAGTGATATTACTGGGCCAAAGTCTATTAAACATATACAGATTTTATGCATAATCTCAACCATCCCTCCAAGGAACATAATTATACCCAATTGTAACTTTCCCTGCATCCTTCGTAGCATTAGGTATTTTGGGTGTTTTTTTCCTAATCCTAGCCTAATTTACTGGAGAAAAGAGTTATGTCGTTGGTTTCATTTTTATTCCTTTGATTATAAAGAAGTCCAAGCACTTTTTTACATGTCTTTTATTTAATTGTATGTCTGATGAGTTGCCTTTTATATTTCTGTCCATATTTCCATTATGGGATTCATCTTTTATTTTTTATATGTAAAAAGTTCTGTGTATTAAATATCAATAACAATGATTGTGTTATATGTTTTAAATTATTTTCTAATGTTTCCTTTGCCTTTGTTGGCATTTTTGACATTGAGAAGATTTTCATTTTTACATTGTCAAACTTACTAATATTTACCTTTAATTGCTGTGGTTGCTTTTATGTTTAAAAATCATTTTTAACTTTGATATCAGAAATTATTTTCCTATATAAACTTTAAGTTCTTTTATTTTTTATAAAGAACAAGAATCTAATAGTAGGAGTTTTTTGGTTGATCCATTGTCCTGCTATGTATCATGTATTTTTCATTCATTTATTTTATTTATTTGATTTGGAATAGACTTTTATTTCTTCACTGATTTAAAATTCTACTTTTACTGCATACTAGATTCTTATGTAGATTTAGCTCTGTAGAGTTCTTGCTCGTGGTTTGTCAATTACAGGGAATAAAATTGTTTTAACTGTTATATTTTTGATAATGTATTTAAATACCTGGTAGTGCAATTTATCTTAACTCATTTGAATTTTTCAAAGTTGTCTCTGTAGGAATGCAAACTAGTATGGTATATATGTCAACATTTTTGTTTGATAAGAACTACAGAAATTTTGAAAAGGGAAGCAGATAGAAGTTTGGGGAAGATGTGGCACTTTGGCTGGACTCAGAATGAGGAATATGATTTGACTTGGCAGAGAGGGAAGAGAAAGGGCATTCCAAATGGGGAAAATAGCCTAAGCAGTACCCTGAATAAATAGTGAACAAGCATTATATAATGGGCGATGGGAGAATGAGGGTGGAATGGATCTAATATTTGTTGAAAGCTTACTAAATGTGAGTCACCATGCTAAGAATCTTATAGGAATAACTCTGAAGTCAGGTGAATCCTCATAGTTTGACTCCTGTGTCAATATGTGTTCAGTGCCTTGCTTTCAATCCATGCCAGTTTGTATGTATAACTCAGTATTTCTTTGAGTTTCTGAAAAACAATTTACTCACACAAAAACTTTGTTGGTTGATCAATGTAAACCACAATTTCTTGACCTTAACCCATACATTGTGGGCTGAAAAAATCCGTTGTTGTAGGGTGCCGTCTTATGCATTATGAAATGTTTATCCCTGACCTCTACCCACTAGATGATAGTACCAATCCTGCTTCCTAGTAGAGTCAGCTAAACTGTCTCCAGACATTGCCAAATGTCTCTTAGTGGGGCAACTCCAGTTGAGAAATATAGATTATACCAAAGATAGGAAATTTAGTGGAGGGTTTTATATTGCACAGTGCAAAACAAATAAATATCCTTTTGTTTTGTTTTGTTTTCCTCTCTTAAGTCCCTTTTTGGTTTCTCTTCAACTAGGTTTGGGGTTTTATTTTTGCTTACTATTGCAGGGTTTACTACACTCAACTGTAGTATTATTGACATTTGGACCAAATAATTCTTTCCTGTGGGGAGCTCTTCTATGCATTGTGAGATGTTTAGTGGCACCCCAGGAGTCCACCCAGGAGATGCCAATACCATCACCATAAGCCCCAGTTGTGACAAAAAAAAATCTGTATGTAGACATTGACAAAATTGGCCCTGGTGGAGAACCACTGATGCAGACTATACCAAAGATAGGAAGTTTGAAGGTTTTTTTTTTTTTTTTCTGCCCAATCCCACAAGATAAAGCTTAGAAATCCTTTATTTTTTCCTTTGAAGTCCCTTTTTGGTTACTATGCTATTGGTTTTGGTTGTTTTGTTTTGCTTATGCTGTCTCAGGGATTATCCATCTCAGCACTATTGTTTTGGGCCAGATAATTCTTTGTTGTGTGGGGCCGTCTGGTAAATTGTAGGGTGTTTAGCAGCCTCTTACTCAGTAGATGCTAGTAGCACCTCACTGCCCCCCACCCAATGTTGTAACAACCAATACTGTCTCCAGATATTTTCAAAAGTCTCTCAGGGAGCAAAATCACCCCTGGTTGAGAACCATTGTTCTATTTCTACTTACCTTTCTCGATACACCAACTCTTCTTTTCAGCCTTTCCTTGTAGAAGAAATGTACACTTCTCTCCTTTTCTTACTTGTAGACATTAGCGATAATTTTTGTTATTGTTACTTAAACGTGACTGTGGAACCTCACTCTCTATCTCAAGTGGTTTAATTGTTGCATTTTTTTCTAACAAATGTAGCATTGCCCCTAACAAATATTCTGGCAAATAACATAAACTCTAACTTACTAAACATCCATCATCTCTCCTCTGAGTGAACAGAAACAGGCTATTTGAGCTTCTATTACAGCTTCTACTATAGATTGACTTTGCATTAAATTTGCACACACTTGCCTATTTCACTAAATCTGAATTTATAGGCAACCTCAAGACAAGTGTATTGTCTTGCATGTAACTGTATTGAAATAAAAATAATGTAAATATTGGAATTATGTGCTTTTGGGTTAAAATATCAGTTAACTCATCTTTAACCAGATTTAGTGACCATAAGCAAATTAGCTCCTCTGACCTTGCTTCATCCTCTGCAAAATAGGAGTAAGATTACCTTCTGAGTGGGTTTCTTATAATATTAGAGATTATGAGATAAAGCACCTGGTATATATCACTCAAAAATGTTAACCATAGTTGTTAATTTTACCAGGCGATATTGAAGCCTATATAAAAAACCCTTTAAAGCCATACTTAAAACCTCAAATACCTATACCTAGAGCGTTTACCTCTTTCTTCCCCTTACTTTCTGACTTATTTGTGGTCACAGCTGAGGCATGCTGGGGAAAAAGATTGTTACATTAATTTTGAGATAAAGCACCTGGTATATATCACTCAAAAATGTTAACCATAGTTGTTAATTTTATCAGGCGATATTGAAGCCTATATAAAAAAACCCTTTAAAGCCATACTTAAAACCTCAAATACCTATACCTAGAGCATTTACCTCTTTCTTCCCCTTACTTTCTGACTTATTTGTGGTCACAGCTGAGGCATGCTGGGGAAAAAGATTGTTACATTAATTTTTCTCTTTATTTTACAAGAAATGTTAAGGCTTAACTAATTCTAATGTTCTCATGGAACACTGAATTTTAAAGTTTATTTAGTATCATTGTGGGGATTTCTTTTTGCAATTGTGAGGTGCATACTGCTTTTAAATAAGGCATAAAGAGATAGACATAGATAAAATTAGGAATAGTTTTACTAAAATTGGTTCCTATGGCAAAAGTGTCATTTGATTATGTTTTTAATGTTTTCTCCAGTAGATAAATTTTTCTTTCACATTCATTTTTTCCCTGATTTATGTGTATATGTGGTTTTGACCTTTCCAAGACAAACTGAATTAAAAATAAAAATATGATGAAAAGAAAAGCAAAGAATAAAAAGAAAACCTGTCAGTTACATTACAAAAATCAATGAAAGTGCAGAATGCACTATTCTGGTCATTAAAAAGGAATTCTTTGTTTGATTTATTATACAAGTATACCATTTTCCCTAGATTGGATAAGGAAATGTTAATATAAGGCTAGCGTACACTGTTTTAGTTATAATATCACAGAATTTTAGAGGTGAAAGGGGACCCCCCAAATTACTTAATATAAAATCCCATTTTATAAGTGGAGAAATTGAGGCCTAGAGAATGCAAGTGACCTCCTCAGAATTTTTAACCAACGGTGACAGAATTCATATAAGGATCTGATTCCCACTGAATCAGATACCCTGGTCTGTTGGTTACATCCTTCTGATAAAATAGAATTGTGGAATCTTCTACAAAATTTGGAACTTATTTTCTAATGAACTAAAAAATTTAGGGAATGATAATGGAGATATTTTAGGGATGCTGTGGCACCAACCACTAGGGGGAAAAAGAATATTTTGACTGGGATAAGCTTGAAGCTACGCTTCAGTTTAGTACAACTATTTTAAAGCAAGAAAAGCACTATTGTTGTTTTCTACCAAATGTTTTAGAGAAGACAGATGTACATGGAAGACTAAAAAGAAATTAGACTTTAACCAACACATAACATTTTTAAGTTTTTTTTTCACATAGTCTCTCACTCTGTCATTTCATTTTAAAACTTTTTTTTTTATTAAGGAACATGAACAATATTGAAAGGTTAACAGTATTATTCAAGATTTGGTTGTGTCTTCCAACTGCTGGTATATTTCCAAAACTTCCTTATGTAACTTGAATACTGCTTATTTTTAACATGCCTTGAATCTTCTCGTACCCTGGCACAACTTTTCAACGTAAACATTAATAAAACTCCTTGGGTTTTTCTCCGTATTTTCTTGATCTTCCTGCACCCCTTTTTTGTTGATGTAATTTATATTGCTCAGCCATTTTCACAAGATCTTCTGGAACACTCTGATTTGCTCTTTCCAGAATTTTAATCAATTCATTGGCAATCTTCGAATCATCTTGAGTGATAAGGGTAATCGATGTGCCAGTCTTTCCTGCTCTTCCAGTACGCCCTATTCTGTGTACATATTCTTCAATATTTCGTGGGAAATTATAATTGTATACGTGTGTGATATCATTAACATCAAGACCTCGGGAGGCTAAATCAGTCGCTATCAATATTTTTACTTTTCCACTTTTAAAGTCTTCTAGTGCTTGCTCTCGATCAATTTGTTCTCTGTCACCATGCAGTGATTGTACAGGAATGCCTCGGATACCTAAATCACTTGATAAGTCATCAGCAATAAGTTTTCGGCTGACAAACACGATGACTTTGTCGTTGGGTGACATGCTGTCCAGGAATTCTTGCATAAGAGCTCGTTTTTCTGTTTCTGTGGTAACAATTATATTTTGCTTCACTGTGTTTACAGCAACTAGATCTAGAGTACCAACATAAACAATCATAGGCTCTTTCAAATAAGAATGTGCAAGTCGACGAACGGCAGCTGGCCAAGTTGCACTTGTCATAACAGTTTGCCGGTCTGGGCGCACATCTAATAAAATCTTCATTATCTGGGGTTCAAATCCCAGATCCAGCATTTTATCTGCCTCATCCAAGACCAAGAATGTTATGCTTCTTAGGTTGACAAGGTTATTCATTTGCAGATCGTTCAGTCTCCCAGGAGTTGCAATAATGATATCTACACCTTTGGCAATGTCCTGTATTTGTCTCTCTCTTTTTCTGCCACCATAAATGCAAACACTTTTAAGACCTTTATATGAATACTTAGAACATTCAGCTTCCACCTGAAGAGCTAATTCCCTAGTAGGTGTAAGGACCAGCATCCCAGGTCCATTTCTTTCCTCTGTAGATATTGGTTGAGAGTCAAGATGAATAAAGCCAGGCATTAAATAGGACAATGTTTTGCCTGTTCCGGTTTGGGCGATTCCTATAAGATCTATTCCTTGTAGAACAATTGGCCACGCCTGAGACTGAATTGGTGTTGGATTTTTAAAACCTGCCTCCGTTATGTTTTTCATAAGCTCCGGGTAGTCCCGGAAAGCGTCTTCGAAGTTACAAGTTGGATTGGGGATACGACGTTTTTCACCATCTTTCAAGTCATCACACATTATGTTGAAATTTTCCTTTCTCCAATTTTCTACCTGCGCTTTAGACATGGAGCTTGTCGCTTTGGATTCTATGTAAAAGTTTTTCTTAATTGGTGGTAAATCAGCCCATTTTCTTTTTTCCCGCTCCGCACCGGCTACCTTGATTTGATCCCAATCTAGCGATGGCCGATGTGCTCTAGCAATGTCAGCTGTGCTTAAATCTCTTACAACAGGGGGTTGGGATGCTGCATTATCAACATTGGATTCTAGCTTGCAGCTTTCTTGTTTTTTAATAAGAGTTTCTATAGCTGCTTTAGCCTTTAGTTTCATGTCCATGCTGCCAAAAATTTTTACCTCCGCTTCAGAATCCCCGTTTATGATTTGTATTTTAGTGTTTGTCAAACGTTTTAGGTCATTTATTTTTGACCCACCACGACCAATTATTGCACCAACCATGTTTTTTTTCACTGTAAAGCAGAGTGGTGGTTCATGGGAGCCTGCCGCCCTAGGCCCAAGGTGGCTGGAGGGGCCACTCCTGCCGCTGCCTCTGCCACCTCTGCCATCCCAGTTGGCCCCATGATTTCTAGGATTAGGTTCTGCCCTCTTCCACTCTGGGGCCCGGGACATTGTGGGATAGTGGTAGTGTTGGCGCCAGCCTGTCGCCTACATACGGTTGGGAGAAGGTCGAGTCTGTGGTCTCTTCAGTCTCTGAACCAGCAGCCAGCAGTGCCGGTTGTTTGCTGGCTACTGACCTAGCCTCGCTCCCGTTACCTAAGAAACCAATGTTTGATGCTGTTAGCGGACCAATCACAGGGCCGGGACTAGTGTGAGGTAAACAGCTGTCTGTGATGCAAAATTTAAAGAGGCAGGAACTCTCCAGGGCTGACCCGGCTGACACAGGACCCTGAGAGTAACTGCCTCCTTTAACTTCTGTGTCCTGAGATCCTCTTTCACTCTCCTACGGATAGTTCTGGCTCAGTTTGGGAGCAGCCTTGAAGCAGGCCTTGAGCTTATACACATTGTCCTTTTTATAAGCCAATTATTTCCATAAGAGAAAAAAAATAGTGAATTAAAAAATTAACTTATTTATTTATGTATTTGTGCGTTTATTTTGGTAAATTTCTTTTGGAGTAAATACAATAAATTGTCTAGATAAATTCATCACTTCCCTGTCCTCTAGTGTAACTTAAATTATACCATCAGAAATCTCTTAGGTACACACTCAAGGATGGCATTTTGCCTCTGATTTTTCAGCTATTCTCCAACACTTGTTCAGGCGGTTTCAAGATATTATTGCAGGGATGATGGTTAGAAGAGAGGTAGAGTGGTGCCTAAGTTATCTTAGGGGCTCTTTTCAATGGTTGGCCACTTTTCTCAGTGCCTCTTAATTTTTTTCATTGCCTGTGGTTTGGTAGATTCTGAGGTTTTAGCACTAGAAGGCTATGTAGAAGTTATTTATTAGGTACAATCTAAAAGACACCCTATCAGCAGTTGGGACAGGTGAACAGCCAGCTTCTATTTAAATAGTCTTAGAGGTAGGGAGCTCACTTCATTTCAAGGATATCCATTCCATCATGAGCCATTTTAATGGTTGAGGTGGAAAGGTGGTGTTAAGCCAAAGTGCTGCTTCTTGCTTCCTTAGGTCCTTCTTCTGATGTCTGAAGTTACACAGAATAGGTTTGATTTTTCTGTTCCCTTGTGTACTTAACGATCACTGTTAAATTCCCTTAGGGTTTCTGTGCATTGGGGTAATATTCCCAGTTTCTTCAACATTTCTTGTGGTGACATGTCCAAGATGCACATCATGCTATTCCTGCTCCTTTGGAAATGGTTCATTGAGGACTTTTTATAATGTAGCACATAGAACTAAGAAAAAAACTGAACTAAACCTGCATAAATGTCCTTACTACTTCTATTAAGACCTTTTCACTGAGCATGATAGTTCTACTCATTTGATCTAAGAACTCCTGAGACACAAGGCTGCTCACAGTAATATGATGAGCATTTAGGCCCATTCTTCTTCACCCTGTACTTACTTGTTTGATTTTTTTGTAATTTGCTTAACTAAAAGTAGATTACATGTTTATCCTTTTATATTCATCCCGTTAAGTTTGGTCAATTGATGTAGCCTATTAAATATAATTTTAATGATTATTCTTTCATCCTTCATATTATCTTCTAGTTGCAAGTCTTCTGCCAATTTAATGTTCATAGCATCTTTCTGTCTTCAACCAAAGTTGCTGATTAAAATTTGAACATAGTCCAGTATAGGACAGAAGTCTATGACACATTGGGAGATACCTTCTCTATGTCAGCACTTTTCCTGAAAAATACTTCTTGAAGAAAAAAGGTTGCCGGCTAAATATGTTTGGGAAACACAGCACCCTATATCCCCTCTGTTAAAGTCACAATGCTTACTATCTATCCTAGGTGCTCTGATAATTACAGGACATTGAGAAAATTAATTGTTTAACCCAAAGTTTCCCAAAGGAATTTTCAAATGGATCTCCTCATCAATTATTTAAATAAACTTTTATTTGGAATAATTTTAGATTTACAGAACACTTACACAAATAATACAGAGAGGTTCCCATATAGCCTTCAACCAGTTTCAGTTTTCTCTAATCTTATCATCTCACATTATCATGATACATTTGTCAAATATAGGAAAACGCTATTGATGTGTTACTATTAACTAAACTCCAGACTTTATACCACCAGTTTTCCATTTATGTTTTTTTTTTCTATTTCAGGATCCAGTCCAAGACACCATACTGCATTTAGTTGTCATGTATGATTTGTGAGAATTTCTCAGTATTTTCTTATTCTTCATAACCTTGCCAGTTTTGAGGAGTAATGATCAGCCATTTTGTACAATGTCCTTCAAATCGAGTATCCCTGATGTAATTTCTCATGATTAGACTGGGGTTATGGGTTTTTGGAAAAAAATATCACAGAGGTAAAATGCCCTTCTCATAATATCATACTGGGGAGGTGGATACCTGATATCAACATGACCCATCATTGGTAACGTTAACCTCAGCTACTTGGTTAAGTTGTATTACTCAGGTTTTGTCCACTGCAAAATTATTATTTCTCTTTTCATACTCTATTTTTTAGAAGTGAGTTACTAAATCCAGACAACCATCAAGGGCCCAGTCTCAGTTTAAATGCAATTCTTATTAGTATTTTGTGCAATTAGTGATGTTCTTTGTAATATAATTTGGAAAACACTGCTCTGGATAAATACAAATTACCTAACCATTTTTTTCATTTGGTTGTCCAACCAGATATATTCTGATCAAATCGCATTATAACCTCTCCACACTTCTCAGTGAATTATACTAAAAGTTTTAAGGCATTCCCAGTATCTTCTAGTTTATTAACTATTTAAAAAGGAAATTTGTTTAGTAAAATAAGGCTTTTATTTAGTGAAGACTATGTTATGTTTCTCTGTCTCTGTTTTTATGCTTTCATCTTTACTTTAAATAATACTTAATATTACAGAACCATAGAATTCAACAGGTGTTAGATACATTAGAAGTCGTCTTGTTCTTCTCCCTCATTATAGAGACAGTGAAATTGAGGCCCCACATTCTTTCTGAATTCCACCAAAGGTACTCAGCAAATCATTGAGAGTATACTTCTGGAGCCATTTCTTGACTTGTGGACAGGGGCTCCTCTACTATGAAGTGACTTGCTTCTGCTCCTGTTGTTTTATGTGAGTGATATGGAAGAATAGAAGCTGTGAAAGTGAAGTGAAGAAAAGTCATGTTGTTGGGATGGGGGTAGTTATGAAATTTTAGTACAGAACAGTGCACTTTAAGGTGTAACTCATTGTGGTGAATTACTGCAGTGACACAGAACTGATAGAAGACTTTTATGGGCAGTGCAGGTACTAAGAGGGATTGTACCTTCAGGGTCATTCATTACCATCTACTATTGGCCTTAGATGGAAAAATTGGTTGTCACCTAAATTAAGGGCCATCAGTGTGACATTCCTTGCTCCAAATATCCCTACAATGGGTTTATTCCTTGTGTCTAAAATGTTCCCACTAGATATGTACCCCCGTGGCTCAAGGCTTGTTATGTTATTAACATGCTCTTGGAAAAATAGAACACAAAAATGTGAAGTTGTCGGTTAGATGCTCTCTAGTTGAGCAGCTGGCTAAGAGATTCTTGTAGGGCAGAGAGAGGCAAAGAAGGAAGGGATTGAGTTTCTGGTAGAGGGGTGGGTAAAGCTTGCCCCAAGGTAAAAAGAAGGGTAATATAAGGAAAGACAAGAGTGTAGTTAATACAGTCTTCACCATTTTACTTAGGATGGTTCCTATAAACTTACAGGCAACAATATGAGTGTGAAATATTGCAGGCAGTGAATTGGGCTAATTTTCAATCACTCTGGTTTCCACAGAACTCTCCCATAGATGTCTTAATGCTGATGGCCTAATATTCTTATAGCTGGGACTCCCTTAGAGACAGTCTTGATAATATTTTATCCTTCTTTGATGATCTAAGGCAAACCTGACTTCTGGAATTCCAGTTAGCACTGATAATTGTAATAATTATAGTTGATTTTGCATCTGTATAGCACTTTACATTTCTAAATACCCTTCATAGAAATAGTCTCCTTTGGATGATATATCTGACCACTATTCTGTTCAGCGGATGTGACTTATTGTGGCAAAAGCTTCCATTATTATTGCACATATTGATGTGTTTATTTTGTGCACAGAATCCTACTCAACCATAGAGTCTAAAGAAATGACAGCAATATGGGGTAGCAGTCAAGAACAGTGGAGCCTAAAGAAATGGGTTCAAATCTTACTTTCAGCACTTATTTGCTGTGAGTCCTTGAGAAAATTCCAAACTTCTTATGCCTTAGTTTTCTATCTGTAGAATGGCATAGTAATACCTGTCTCATACACACAGACACACACACAAAGTTACAGCACTTAGTGTATAGTAGGAACTCTCCAAGTGTCAATTATCCTTGCTACAGAAACAGTAGGCATTGAGAGGTAATTATGGAGGTTCTCTGTCTAAGGATTTTCCTGATAGTTTCCTCTGGTCCACATCAAAATGAAAAAAATAAAATAAAAGCTTTATTCACAACTGTAAATTTATTCAATTTAAACTTTTAAATTCTAATATTATACCCTCCTATCTTTTGCAAAATATCCTTTTAAAATGAAATGGGGATTTCAAATTATTTTTAAAGATGTTTCCTAGGGCAAGAAAGAATGTAAAACTAGTGCCAATAGCCACATTTGACTTGAAAATGTTACTAGTATGTGAAACCTAAGTACCTGTAAGCACTGATCTAGATTAATATTGTCTGAATGTTTGTGTTCCCCCAAATTCATATGTTCAAATCCTAACCCCCAAAGTGATGGCGTTGGGAGATGGGGCCTTTGGGAGGTGACTAGGTCATGAGAGCAGAGCCCTCATGAATCCGATTAGCTTGCCCTTATAAAAGAGGCCTGAGAGAGACCCTTCACCCTTTCTGCCATGTGACTCCTATAATATATCAGACATTTGTAATGTATTATCTCATTAAATCATCACAACTCTGTAGTAGGTATTTTTTTTCCTTTTTCATGTGTAAACACTGATGCTCAGAGATGTTA